CGGCCGCTCGGACGTATTCCGAGGCGGGGCGTGCGGTCTCGGCCCCCCACGGCCGCTCGGACTGATTCCGAGGCGGGGCGTGGTGGGGCGGTGAGAGGGAAGGAAAACCTTTAAAAACCCGGAAGGAAAATCGTACGCCCGGCGTGTGGGCCGCTTGTAAAATAGCCCACAACATCATGAAGGCAGATATGGAGCAAGATAAAAAGAAGCTTACGCCAGCAGCCGGCTTCGGAACCGGCAGCGGCCGGCGCGGGGGAGGTGGCGTCCTGGCCACCCCCGTGTCGGGTCCAATGGATGGACAAATCAAGCGACAGGCGCGCAGACGGGTGCACCGCAGGCCCGTCTGCGACAAAAATGCGTCTGCGAAGAAGTGGGTGAACACCGGGGGCACGGTGGGGGATATTCCCACCCCCCCTCGGAGGTGTAGGACACTCCGGGTCTAACATCGACCCGGAGTTCGAGGAGTATCAGGAGTTTTATGACTCTTGCCTCCTCGACTGCGCTGGAGAGCCCGGTTTGACGCTCACGTCAGCACCGGGTCTCTACCAGCTCTGCTTCATTGGTGGGGAGAAGGGAATCCCTCCTGAACTCGACCCGGGGGCCCTGCGTCTCCGGGGAGGAATGAAGGAGGACTCCTCGCCTCCTAGCCCGACGCTGGCATCGCCAGCGAAGTCGGGCGATAAGGGACGAGAGGAGATGGCTCCTCCTCGCTCGGCAGGGCCCGGCCCTGCCGGCAGCAAGGCCAGACCCCGCGGGGGGTCGTCTGCCTCCGAGGGAAGCCTGTCGAGGTCTGGCTCTACGGTCTCGATGGCTTTCCAAAGAGGCGACACCCGGAAAAGATCCGCGGCGGTTGAATTGAGTTCAGACGAGGAGGAGCCCAAGCGACAACGGGGCAGACCGGCCGCGGGCCCAGCGAACATTGGAACGTCCGCGGCGGCCGCCTGGGCCGCGAAGGCCAACCGCGAGAGGGCCTGCCAGCTGGGGAGGGATTACCAGATCACTTCCGATCCGGAGTTTGACCCCCCCTCCTCAGCGTCGGTTAAAAGGGCCAGCGCGAGGGCTAAGGGGCTCATGGAAGACTATGAGCTCCAGTCTTTGATCGCGGCCGTCGCGACCCGGGAGCTCTCCACACTCGCGAAAGCGGTGGAGCGCTCCCGGAACATCAAGGGGAACGTCGTAAGGGACCTGTGGGGAGTTTTTTCGAGGCTCTCCGCAGCCCTCGCGACGACCCTGAACAGGGCGAGTAGGGCCGTCGCCGCCGACGACGAGGACGGCCGCCTCGGCGAGGGGGCATGGGCGAAGGAGAGACGGAAGCTGAAAAGCGAGATCGCCTCCCTCCGTTCGGAAAACGCGCGGCTCACCGGGGTGGCGGGGCGGGGAACAAGATCCTCCCCCCTGCCCCAAACTGGCGTTGTCGAAACTGATGCGACCAAGGAGGCCCCTCGCTGGCACGCTAAGTCCGGGCGGTGACGATGACGGCCCCTCTAAGGAGGGAGCCACCCCTGCGGAGGAGGGGACGACGCCTCCGGTCGTGATCACGGAGGAGGACCTGAGGTCTCCGATCTTCAAGCCTCCTCTGCAGAGGGTTCAGAGACAGCTGAACCCCCTGGCGGTTGCAAACGACCGGGGCGCGGCCGTCTCCCGGAGCCCCCCCCCTAGGACAAGGGGGAAGGGGAAGATCTCCGGGGGCGGTGGTGGTGAGGAGGAGGAGGGAGGATGGAGAGGATCCTCTCGAGACTCCTCCCCCGCCTCCTCACCGAGATGGGGGTGGTCCCTATCAGGGCCCAGCTCCCGCAGAGGGAGAGGAGCCGAGGCGGCAAGCGGCCCTTCGCTACCCCACAACAACCGGGGGCGAGGGCCACCACCAAGAAGGGTGCAAAGGGGGGGGGGGTGGCATCACCCAGCCTCCCAGCACCTCTAGCAAGGCGCGACCGCCCCCGGCTCCCCCTACAACTGGGGAGCCGACCCGCGGCGCGGGTGTGACCGAGGAGGCGACCTGGGCGCAAGTCGTCTCCCGGGAAGCGAAGAGGGCAGCGGCCAAGGCGCAGCGCGCCAAGGCCGCACCGCCGCTCCAACTGCCCGTCTGCGGGAAAGGAAAGAAACGAGCCGGAGCGGGCAAGGGGGGGCCCGTCGGAGATCCGAAAGCCTCCGACAAAAGGCCCCCCAAGCTCCGGGCGGCCACCTCGGCGGCGGTGACCATCATCTGCGCCGATCAGTCGGCCTACGCTGAGGTGGTGGCAAAGGCGAGGTCCTCGATCTCCCTGAAAGACTTGGGGATCGAGGACCTCAGGCCGAGAAGGGCCATTACGGGGGCCCTAATTTGGGAGGTCCGGGGCCCGGAGAGCGGGGCTAAGGCCGATCGACTGGCCGAGCGCCTCTCGGCCGCTATCGCGGAGAGGGACGACGTCCGTGTGTTCCGACCCGCGAAGAGCGCCGAGCTCCGGGTCTCCGGACTCGATGACTCGGTCACCTCGAAGGAGGTGGTAGAGGAAC